ATAATTTTGTGCTAAGATTATTTGAAAATGTAGAGAATAATTGTAGTAGAGAATATTTTCTACTAGATTGTGATGCTTACTGTTATGTCTTACTTATTTTCATGTCTCATTTGTGTCTTCACTAAACACATTTGAACTTTGATTGCGTTGCAACCAAATATTTTGTTACAAGCTAAAAAGGGACAGATACACAGTTTAATTTGTAAGTCATGTGTTCCCTCCACACAAAAGCCATGTGATGTCATGTCACAAAGATTTTACCCATTGTTTTTTAAAATATGATGAGTTGTCACATAATACATGGTGGAATAGACATGGCAATGTGAAAACATCCACCACTTTATATTATATTTGCAGAACTTAGTTTCAGCAAAAAATCTGTCTACTTCGTTAATACTGATTTTAAAAGTTTTAATTTTGTGATTATTATTTAATTTAATTTATAAATCTGTGTTGGTTTCATAATGGTATTAATATGCTGAGGCATGTATTTCCCAATTTGCATTTGTATATAAACATCATTATATAATTTAAGTCAATATTAAGAGTCTGATATTCTTTTTTTGAAAAGGATTTTTATATTACTCAAGGTTAGTATATAATAGTCCGGACTGCAAAATATTATAGAGATCAGAGGCAGAAGGAATCAATGTTAGAGTAGTAAGAAATGCCAGTTTGGATTATGACAGCATCTTTATTATAGCATAATAATGATTTTTAATTCATTATGACAACTAGCCATTTGTCAAATGATTTAGAAGTAACTTTGCCTAGGTCTTGCATCAATATGTATAATTACTTATTGGTTGTTAATTATAAATATCCTAATTTTAAAATAGATAAAGAGTGATTTATAACTTTTTCCTGAAAGATGGATTTAGTACTTTTGTTTGTTTAGCCAGTTTCCCCATGTATGTTCCTATGGTCCTGATTTGAAGCATATCAGTTTACATCCTGCATGGTTATTTTGCGAAATGCTTGATATATTCAATTTAAGATCATGTATGCAAATGGCATGATATTTCAATGATTTTTTTAACATAGGTACTTCTATTAACCCACTTATGCTTTTATTCATAATTTCTTTTTTTACTCATATCTCATATGTTGCCAGTGGGTCAGAATGTCATTTCACATGTTTGTTATCACTGGATTTACTTAAAAATAGAGTGTAGTCAAAATAGAAATTAAGAACACTGGTTTCCTTAATATTTCCAAGTCTTAAAGCACTCTGTGGTTGTCACCTTTACCCTGCACAATTATTTCTTTAAATATTTATAAAAATCTGAAAAATCTCATAATATATTTTTATCATATTTTTTCTTTTTAAAAGTTAATAAAAATTCAAAACAGAATACTACAGTTTATTTATAATCCAATATGTTTTTCAGAAGCATCATTATATTCAGCCAGTAGATATATAATGAAAACCATTTGGTTAATGAAAAAAAATTTTAATGTAGTTTGATCTTAACTTTATGAAAATAATTAGGATTTTCTAACTTGTACGGCAATATTTAGATTAGTTTAAAAAACAAACAGAAAGTTGCAGTTGAATAGCAGAGTACTATAAATAATTACTATTACTGTTAACTTACTGTTTTCAACATTACTGTTAACTTACTATTCTCTTTGCAAAAGATACCTTGTCTTTAAGAATACAGTGGCATTAACTCATGTGACTTGATGAAAAAAATGCTGCAACTCCTTTACTTAATGGGATTCTTCCCCTGTGGCAGTGCAAACGGCTGGAGCAGGAGCTTCATCGTTTGAAAGAGCAGAACCAGACTTCAGCAAACAACATGAGACATCTGACTGCTGAAAACAATCAAGAACGTGCTCTGAAGGTAAATCGCTGTTCCTTCTTGCAGGCAAATTAAGGTTGTACGCCCTCGGTGCCAGCGCTCTGTGCTGCATACATCAGCTGTGTACATTTCCGCAGAAGTGAGCTGTGGTGTTTGCCAACAGCCCCTTCTTTAAACACAGATACAGCACCCTTCTGCCGTGGTATGATCTTATCTCATGTATGTGTACATGAAAACAACATATTTTCTGAATTTTGAGTGATCTCTATTAATAACTTTTGGTACATGTTCATTCTATTTCAGATTTTTATAATACTGTGTTTCCTTTTGTGGTTAATAGAAAGTGGCCACACTAAAAGAAAAAATTAAATCATGAACTTTTCTTCCCATCAATATTTATTACACTAATTTTTTTAATGACTTTAAATATTAGTAACCCACAGAACTGACACCCCTTGAAAGGTATGTGAATATGTTTGGGAATTGAAATAGTAATTAAAATGTTGCTTATTACCAAAAAAGGAAAATATATTCTACTAGAATTTGAAACAAGTGAAGTGTACATTTCATGACAAAAAGTTCTGTTTCTTGTAATATAGATCCAATAATCATGAAAAAGGACATTATTTTAATTCTGCTTACAGTATTTTTTTTCTTATGACTTCCCATTTTCTTTTTTTGACTTTTCCCCAGTTCCTAGCATAAAGCCTGTGACCTAGTACTGGTCCCTGCCCTCGAGGTGCTAACATTCTCATGAACAGGTTAGAAAGGGAAAAAAAAATACCCATGGGAAACAAAAAAATCCATCACTGTTGATATTGTGCAGTAAAAAAAAGATGTGCTGTCTGTGGGATTGTATAGTACTTTCTTGTCTTGAATTAATTCATTGTTTCAGATTACAGAAATTAGCACTGTAACTCACTATCTATTAAAATTGAGAAAGTATTGGCATTTTGATGTGGAACATATTTTTAATATGTCTAAAAAGTATGAGATTTGGTTGAAATCAAATTTTTCTACAAAATGTATTTAGCTTCATTTTGAAACTCTCAGTGGTGGGTTTTGTTATTATTATTTAATGCACTTTTTCTTCTATTCTTTAGAATTTATGGGTGGACCAGAACAATAAATGGAAAATAAAAGACTTGTAGATTTCTGTGATTATTAATTAATTATCCCAAGGAATTTATTCTAGTATGAGTAAAATATTGTATAATAAATTTTAAATATATACTTGCAAATTGAAAGTAACTTTGTTTTTTTGAAACTTTATTTATATTGTTGGCACAATTACAGATATCCCTATTTTCCTCCACTTTGCCCACCTCCATCCAGCCCCCGTACCCCCTCTTCTCTGGGTATCACCACACTATTGTGTGTGTCTATGTGTCAAGTATAATGTGCTTTGACTAGTCCCTTCACCTTCTTTCATCCAGTTTGCCAGCACCCCAACACCGTTCTCTCCTCTGACAGCTGTCAGACTGTTGCATGTACCCATGCCTCTGTTTCTATTTTGTTCATCAGTTTAGTTTGTTCATTATGTCCCACCTATAAGTGACATCATATGATATTTGTCTTCCTCTGACTGGCTTGTTTCACTTAGCATAAGAATCTCCAGGTCCATCAATGCTCTTGTAAAAGGTAAAGCATTCCTTCTTTTTGATGGCTGCATAATATTCCACTGTGTAAATGTACCACAGCTTTTTTATTCACTCATCTACTGATGGGTGTTTGGACCATTTCCAGATGTTGGCTATTGTAAATTATGCTGTAATGAACATAGGGGTGCATGTATTCTTTTGAATTAGTGTTTCAAGATTCTTAGGATATATTCCCAGAAGTGAGATCACTGGGTCAAAGGTAGTTCCATTTTCAATTTTTTAAGGAAGCTCCATACTGTTTTTCACAGTGGCTTCATTCTTGCCAACAGTCTGCATTCCCACCAACATTGCAGAAGGGTTCCCTTTAATCCACATCTTCACCAGCACTTGTTTGTTGATTTTTGATGATAGCCATTCTGACAGGTACGAGGTGATGTCTCATTGTGGTTTTGATTTGCATCTCTCTGATGATCAGTGATGTTGATCATTTTTCACATGTTTATTGCCATCTGTATGTCCTCTTTGGAAAGAGTCTATTTGGGTCCTTTGCCCATTTTTTAATTGGAGTGTTTGTCTTCCTGGTGTAGAATTGTATAAGTTCCTTATATATTTTGGAAGTTAACCCCTTATTAGATGTATCATTGGCAAATACGTTCTCCCATGCAGTGGGTTCCAGAACAGGGAACCCAGAAATAAACCGATGCCTTTATGGTCAAATAATATTTGAGAAAGGAGGCAAGGACATACAGTGGAGTAAATAAAGGCTGTCTCTTCAATAAATGGTGTTGGGAAAGTTGAACAGTTACATGGAAATAAAAAGAAACTAGACCACCAACTTATACCATATATAAGTATAAACTCAAAATGGATAAAAGACTTAAATGTAAGTCATGAAACCATAAAAATCCTAGAAGAAAACATAGGGAGTAAAATTTCAGATAATTCTTGTAGGAATATTTTTGCTGATATATATCCTAGAGCAAGAGAAACAAATGATAAATTAAACAAATGGGACTACATAAAACTAAAAAGCTTCTGCACACCAAAAGAAAGTTAAGTTGTTTTAAAGGCAGGCTCTGTCATCTTGTGTTGTTTTATTATCAGCTTTTGGGGACAAATTTCATAGCTCTATGTGATATCACTATTCCCATTTAAAACAGATCCTACAATGGAAATTCTAGTTTGTTAAGTGCATAATTGCATAGTCTTTACTCTGACATTTTTTATTGTGTGTGTATTTGTGTTAAATTGAAACAAATGGCAGCTGCTATTAATGGAGAGAAATACATGCACATTTCTAAGAGGTTATTAGAATTAGAAGGCAAGATGTAGACCAAAAGAAACCTGGAAGTTAAAACAAAACAAAACCCAAACCTTATAAAATAGAAATCTCTGTAAACCATAGATTATATAATTTAAAGTAATATATAAACAAAACTACAGTTTTACTCCTGAGAAATATGTTACATTAAAATCTTTTCTAGTTGCTTATTTTTTTCTGCAAAAGTCTCAAAATTTTTCTGTTGTGTTTTAGTCCTTTATAACTTTATCCATTAACTAAGCCAACTTAAACTTTTTGTAGAATAGAGATGGGAGGAAGGATTCATATTTAAAAATTCATAAATTTAATCTTTTTAAAGGCCCTGTGCTCATTTTAGCTCTTTTAAAAAATGTCTTGTATAAAACATTTTTTAGTTATTTCATGCCATATTTCCTCCTGTGAAATTTATTATGAAAATTAGGTCATTTATAAGACATCAGCTTTATTCTAAATCAATTTTTAATTTCTTATTTTGTCCTTATTTAGTTCTCTATTATTGCATTCTGTATCATCAAGTTGTTATATAAGTTAGGAATAATAAGTTTATTAATAAGCTATCTGATGAATTAATTGTTCGTCTCCTTTCTGAGCAGTAATTCTATCTTTTACAATCTACTTACAACTATCATTTCTTTTGTTTGCTAACTTGTTTAACATTTAGATAGTATTCAAATGAGCTTTAGGAAGACTTTTTTGAATGAGTTATTTTCTCTGGAAGCTTTCAATCTGCCAAAAATACTTCTAGTATTTTATCATGAATGGTACTATTATTAATTTCACTAATAAAAGTAAACTTGAATAGAGTGAGGGCTAAAAACTCATGTTTTATTTCATTGTGTTACATTGGAATTCCTAAAGGAAGTAGTCCTAGAGTTATGTTTAGGAAAAGTCTTAAGTTAATGGTCAAGCCTTACATAGAACTTTCTAGTTGATAATTTAGACAGATACACAATTATACAAGGAAATACTTTTTAATAATCTTATGCTTTTAAATAACAATGTATTTATTCTTATAATCAGAAATTTTTTTCTACATTTTTTTGTGGTAGAGCATAAAATTGGATTTTTGGTGATCATTTATACATTATTTTTGAAAAGTAGTATGGAATTATACTATTATAGTAGATAAATTGCTAGCATGACACTGTTTCCCTACTTTTATAATATTTGCATTTTTCCCAAATAACACAATGCTACATATAGAATATGAGACTGAGAGTTAACATGAAAAAAAACCCACAAATTATTTATTTCTTTAAAATTTGTCCACTGATGTTAAGAAATTGGTTTCTTGAAGAACACAGTTTTGGTCATCTAATGTTTTTAAAATAAATTTAGATTAGCCATAAATACACAGACATCAGACTTAATAAGAAATTTTTGTATATGCTCTTTTTTCCTCTTTATTTATTTACCTTTCTTATCACACATCTTTAACTTCCTACAATTGGACTTCTCCACTGTAATTCCATTGGAACCCATTCTTTCTGAGATTATAAGTGATCTCTGATGATTAAACCTGTGAAACTTACCATTCCTTGTCTTACTCAATATCCCAGTGAACCTAATGGAACATGTTTCAATCTTTTTGGGGTTCTCCCTCTTGAAATATTTTTTGTAGTACTCTGTTACTATATTGTCATTTTTTCTTGGTCGCTATTCTTTAGCTGTTTTCTCTTTTTCTGTGTATTTCTAAAATATAAGTGGTCCTCTGGGATATGTGGTTAGGCCCTTATTTTTCTTTCTTTAAAAAAATATTTTTTAGAGGAATTTTAGGTTCATGGCAAAATTGCACACAACATGGAGTTCCAACATATCCTTTTGCCCTAATACATGCACATGTCCATAGCATCCAGCAAGAGGGTGGTACGTTTGCTATGATCATGAACCTACTTCAGTGTAACTCAAAGTCCGTATTTACATTAGGGTTCACTCTTAGTGTTGTATATTCTTTTTAAAAAAATATATTTTTATTGATTTCAGAGAGGAAGGGAGAGGAAGAGATAGAAACATCAATGACGAGAGAGAATCATTGATCAGCTGCCTACTGCACGCCCCTTACTGGGGACTGAGCCTGCAACCTAGGCATGTGCCCTTGACCGGAATCAAACCCGGGACCC